TCAGGCTCTGGAGCGCCCTCTGCAGCCACTGCTCTGAAGGGCCCCAGACGTCAGGCTCTGGAGCGCCCTCTGCAGCCACTGCTCTGCAATGCTGAGCAGCAGATCTTGGTGCTCATAGCCCTGGACAAGACCGCCAGAGAATGGAACTGCTACACCTCTCTGAAGATAGTGAGCGGGATCTGGGGGTAAATCTTGCTTTTCCTTCTATTTAAGGGAGACAACATTGAAAAAGGCAGGAACACTCATATCTATGCCTCTTTACCCATATCCCCAACCAACTAGATTTGGTGTAGACAGAGCTCTCACAGAAAATGGCACCAAACATCAGTACTTTATTAGGAGAGCTGGGGAGTGCTTGGGTGGCTCCTGCGTTTTTAGTTAGTTGCTTATCATTGGATGTTAAGATGTCAGAAAAGGACATAGGTACCACATCCCCAGCCCTCGGGGCCACTGGGGAAAGTGAATCCCCTTCATCTCGGCTCCTATACCCACCAGTGAATTGGTCAAGACCCTCCACTAGGCGAGGCAGGGGACTCTCCTTCATGAACGTCACGCACAACCTCCTCATGCGTCTCAGGAGCTTTGGCAAGCGACGCAGAAGCTCCCCTTCCAAGGAGAAAGGAACAGCACCCTGATACTGTTCTGGAATCATGGCCTGTTTGATAAAACATAGATTATTCTCATGGCCAGAATGACAGCAACAGTTTTAACCTGCACAGGGTCTAAGTTTAACTGCTGCACGCATGCATACACACATCTGTAGCACTGAGAACACTTGCTCCATTCTCCCCAACCTCATGAGCAGGGCCAACCAGATTAGCATCACTAAACTTAAAACAGACATTCTGTGGATAGACATTTATGTTGCTGCTCCCCTTGAGATCACTGTCATAGAAGGATGCCCCCACCCAACTTCTGTGTTTGTGTGTGAGCCACAGAGAGGCCAGTTCTGACCTAGGAACAGAGCAAAATGAGCCACATAACCACTGCCCTGTGGAGCTGGGCCACACCACCGCTCTCAGAGACGGGGCAGGCAAACCTGGCCCCCCAAATGCTGCTTCTATTACCAGCTACCCCTACCCCGTTGATCTCTGATTAACAGTTCAAACATCAGGAATTCAGACATTATTTCAAGGGAAAATACTTTATCTAACAGGGGTATGTTTCCATTATTTTTTCCCCTGAAGAATCTCTAAATTCTTATGCTGTCACAATGAGCAAATCAAAATTTATCAAAATGACAAACACAGTCTAAGGAAAGTAAACGCAGCAGTCACATCATATCTGCACAGCCATATTATGACTATATGCTCAATTTCTTGTTTTTTTCTTTAGGGACAGGGTCTCATTTTATCTCCCAAACTAGAGTGTAGTGGTGGGCTCATATCTCATAGCAGCTGCAAACTCCAGGGCGCAAACAATTCTTCCACCTCAGCCTCTCATGTAGCTAGGACTATAGGTGTTAACGACCCTGCTCAGTTAGTTTTTGGTACTTTTTACAGAGACAGGGCTTCACTCTTGCCCAGGCTGATCTTAAACTCCTGGCCTCAAGCAATCCTCCCACCTCAGCCTTCCAAAGGTCTGGGATTATAGTTGTGACCCAACACATCTGGCCTAATCTCAGTTTCTTTCTTTCTTTTTTTATTTAGAGGAAGAGTCTCACTTTATCACCCTTGGTAAAGTGCTGTGGTGTCACAGCTCACTGCAACCTCCAGCTCTTGGGCTTACATGATTCTTTTGCCTCAGCCTCCCAAGTAGCTGGGACTATAGGTGCCCGCCACAACACCTGGCTATTTTTTTTGTTGCACTTTGGCTGGGGCCAGGTTTGAGCTCTCTGCCCTTGGAATATGGGGCCGGCGCCCTACTCACTGAGCCACAGGCACCGCCCTAATTTCAGTTTCTTATTTTTTTTTTTTTTTTTTTGGAGACAGAGCCTCAAGCTGTTGCCCTGGTAGAGTGCTATGGCATCACAGCTCAGGGCAACCTCCAACTCCTGGGCTCAAGCAAGTCTCCTGCCTCTGCCTCCCACGTAGCTGGGACTACAGACGCCTGCCACAATGCCCGGCTATTTTTTGGTTGCAGCCATCTTTGTTGTTTGGTGGCCCAGGCTGGATTCAAACCCACCAGCTTAGGTGTATGTGGCTGGCGCCTTATCCACTTGAGCCACAGGTGCCGAGCCAATCTCAGTTTCTATTACATGTTTCAGTGGGAGGCAGACAGGCTGAATTCCTCACTGACCTTCCAACTCAGGATGAAGTGCTCAGTCAGGGGAATGTCTACGTGACCATCCCTGCATGGGGACTCAGCAGTGTAGGCGGCTGAGTCAGGAGAGTTAATGCAGCTCGAAGGGACAAAACTTGCTTCCTCTCTTTCTCTTCTCCCGGTGTAAGTTATCTGGCCACTTAGATGTTCCATGGCCCTTTACCCGACCTTCCTGGGGGCTGCACTCTCCCCTCTCATTGCTGACCTGGGCTGCTGCCTATTGACTGCTGTGCATTCTTGCATATATCCTCCCTTACGGTGCTCAAGAAAGGAGTCCTGAGAAGCAGGACAGGCTGCTGTGTTGCTGTCAGGGTGCCACCAGGCACATGAATCAATGTGAGCCCTTTTAGGCATTATGCCAAAAGGCTGGTGAAAAACGTCTCTTGATTCTGCAGCACTGTTTCCTTTGCTGACCACTGTCCCAGGCTGGGGTTCACAATATCCCCAGCATTTGTTTTTTTTCCCCCCAGTTGTTGGCCGGGGCTGGGTTTGAACCTGTCACCTCCGGCATATGGGGCCGGCACCCTACCCCTTTGAGCCACAGGTGCCGCCCTATCCCCAGCATGTTTTGAACTACTAAAATATTAAAAATAACTTGAGGACTCCCATTGCTTACTCTATGAACCCCTGGTAAGAATGCAAAAGTAATTATTCTCCTGACGTGTGGTTCCCAATCCCGAGCTCCCCACACCTGAAGACATGAAGCAGGAGGACACCCATCCCGTAACAGACCTACTAACTCAAGATCTCCATCACTGTTCAATTTTCAGGAATTTTGCAAGTTACATCTTAACTGTTGGTGCTTGATACTGGGCACAGCACAATACCTGGCAGCTGCTGGGGACCAGAGCCCCACTGCACACATTGCCCCCAGCTTGGCACTGTCATTTGTGGAAGCCCACAGCCAGCTCCAATGGCATGTTCTTAAACTGATACTGCAAGTCTTCCCTCGCAGGGAGAGGAAACGTTCACAAGCGAGTGCAGCTGTTATTCCCCTCAGACTCAGGTTAAATGTTCAGCAGCAATGTCAACATTTTTTGCCTTATTCTGCAGTGGTGTCAGGCACACAAATGCTACTTACATCCAGAAAACAACACTGCAAAGCACTTCATCGTCTGGTTCACAGGACACCCTTGCATCTAACACATGCTATAGGCGCTGTCCCAGAACCCGTACCTGTCCAGCAGCTGGCCGGGCTAACAGAGTCTCCCTCAGTGCCCTGTTCAGACTCTGAATGGAAGATGCCTCTGTGGGCCTGGGCAGAAAGTCAGGCTGTTCCTCCTTGTCACTCTCCATCAGGGATGACTGACAGGGTTCATTGAGGACAGTTTCAAATTTCTTCATGAACTTAAAGAGGGTCCTGACCCCGGGCAATGACAGAGGTAAGAAGAAAAAGTTATATTGGAAAGTGAAGAAACATAAAAAATACATTACAAGGCACACACACATAACTCAATACCCTGTACCTTTTGTACACAGTGAACTACATAGTCATAATCATTTTGTTTTTTGACAGAGACAGTATGGCAGATTTTGTCATCCCCTTTATTAGAGTAAGGATGGGACTGCTTTGCTCAAGATAAACAGCTAGCAAGTGGCATAGACTTGAGATGTTGCCTGCATAGTCTCGGGCACACCAATTCTTCCTGCAGGGATACTTTTCTCTGGGGGCAGGGGTGGTGCTGGAACACCATGTCAAAACAATCCTGTGGGGTCCTCCCTACAAGTTCGAGGTACTTGTGTTAAGTCAGTCTATGCTAACTATGTAGTCTTGCTCCCTCGTTTTAAAAGATGATTACCTGTGTGTCTTTTCCACAGATTGTTTAATGGACCAGAAGCTGACATCATTCCACTTGGATATCTTTACAAATTCCTGTAATATAAAGAAGCTCGAGAAACGGCTCTATAACACTAGTATTGTTCTGCTTCTCTTTCCAGATGTTTGCCAAAGACCAGAGCCCACTCCACCCCAAACACAGGACTGTGTCATGAGCAAATAAGTAAAAAACAAAAAGAAGCATGTGTGTGTTTTAAAGCGATAAAAATTAAAAGTGTTGGCTCGGCGCCTATAGCTCAACTGGCTAAGGCGCCAGCCATGTACACCTAAGGTGGCGGGTTCGAATCCCCAGCCCGGACCCGCCAAAACAACAATGATGGCTGCAACCAAAAAACAGCCTGGCATTGTGGCGGGCGCCCGTGGGCCCAGCTACTTGGGAGGCGGAGGCAGGAGACTTGCTTGAGCCCAGGAGTTGGGAGGTTGCTGTGAGCTGTAATGCCACGGCACTCTGCCCAGGGGGACAGCTTGAGGCACTGTCTCAAAAAAAAATAAAATAAAATAAAATAAAAGTGTTGCTATAATCAATGCCACTTGGCATTTACTCCAGCACAGGAGTCACCAAGTTAGTCACGTGCCTCGTACCAGGGCTGGCTCCACAACCCCCGAGAACACCCAAAGGAGAGGATGCTCTGTAGCCCAGGGCATGCCCATGGTAGCTAGACCCGGACACGGAGTACCTCTGAGGTGGAGACTACCCGAGTGAGGCCAGGGCACAGACAGGCTTCCATGGCAATTCTCTAAGAAGCCCGCAACAGGCCACTCCACTGGCCCCTCAACACACTTGGCCAGGTCAGCAATGGAGTCCGTGTCATCAAGTGTACATTCTGCCATCTGACTTGCTGCAATGCTTGCCCCTGCCTCATTGTTAAATGGACGACAGAACAGAACTAAAGAGAAAGAATTTGCTGATTTTGTTCTCCCAAGAATGATCACAAGAGCTGTTTATCTTACTTTAAGTTCTTTTTCTATGGGGGAACGAAGTTCCACAATTTTGGCCTGGACTCGGTCAAAGAATTGCTTGTAATAATGGTACAAATTCCATAGAACACTGCAAAGTGAATCTGGAAGAAATCAAAAGGAAACAAAACACCATACTTGCTGCATGCACTGCTGGGGCCACCTGTGAGCGTCACATTTCAGTGAAGACCCTTCCTCCTCCCTCTTCATGAGAACACTACGTCCCACAGGCTGGCTGTGCAGGGGGCTGTGGAGGGCAGCAGTTCCCAGAGGTAAAGGCTGTCAACACACCCCTGCTTTTCTTTTCTTTTTCTTGGAGACCAAGTCTCATTCTGTTGCTCTGGGTATGGTGCTGTGGTATCATAGCTCACAGCAACCTTAACTCTTGGACTTTGAGCAATCCTCTTGTTGCAGGCTCCTGAGAAGCTGGGACTACAGGTGTTGGCCACAACACCTGGCTAGTTTTTCTACTTTTAGTAGTGATGGGGTCTCACTCTTGCTCAGGCTAGTCTTGAATTCCTGAACTCAGGCAATCCACTCATTTTGACCTCTCAGAGTGCCACAATCACAGGTGTGAGCACTGTGTCCCCTTCTGCACTTCTGTTCTTGACAATGATACACTGAGAGGTTCTGCTACCATGACAATACAAAACTCTTCCTCTGAATCTTACTGTAAATTCAGCAGAAATTGAGCTTGCTTTCAAAGATGGCAAACTAAGCAGTTCCCCTCAAATGTTCACTCACATACAATCTACACCCATTCTGCAGTGACATTTGTGTCCCGATGGCTGTGGTCAGAGGTCATCATTGGAAGCAGGTGGTGTTATGTGCAGCGCCATGATATATGGCGAAGCTCTCACTAGATCACGAAGCTAATAACAGCCTGATGGGGTAGCAGCTTAGCAGGACGCTTACAGTGTCTAGACATAAATGTGCTGCCTGACACTCCAGGTCCGGACACCTTCATCTGCAATTCACTTCCGCCAGAGTTCACTAGTCAGTGCTCCAACTACAACCAGTCTGCACTTCACTCTGAATGTTACAGATGACTAAAACGTACCTTGTTCAAAACCTCATGTGCAATAAGATATCTGTCTCATTTGGAGACCTCAAAGCCTAACCCACTTTAACAGTGTAATATAAAAGTAAAAAGAAATCCTCACCCTTTCCTTCAACTTGTGGCATCAGCAAAACGTGACAATGGAAAACCAGTAACATCTGGAGTCGCACATGGAACTCTCCCAGTGAGGATCCTTCAATAAATGCTTGTAGCGTGCTGACCAGCAACATCAAGGTCATCTGTTTGTCATCTTCAGAGATTCAAAGAAGAAAATACCTATTTGTTCCTTCAACCATCACTCCCTATTTCTAATGCAGTCCACTGCAGGACACGCTGAGGGCAGGTGGTCAGGAGAGGCTAAGAATAAAGTGAAGCTTTCCAGCAAGGACCACAGCTATAGTCTAAGTGTATGTAAATAAAAGTCACAGCTGCACACAGGGCATGTGTTAAATGCGCTCACAGCAAATTTTAAAACTGAATTATAAGTTGTCTGCCATATGAAATGAAATGCTTTTACCTCAACCATGCTACCTACCAAAGGGCTACTTTATTTTGTTGGACTGATCCCATTTTTCACTGAAAATACCTGATCTTACAGTGAAGTGCACAGATCCACATTGTCCCAAATACACTAAAAAGTTTTCTAATAATGTGACTGAGCATAAGTTTTTATAACTAAATTAATTAGAATAACTGAGTATTTAGTTGCACCAGTTACATTTCAAGTTGCTTGGAGAGCTGCCACCCAAGGCCCATGTTTCAAGCAATCTCTCTGGCTTCTTGAGCACAGCGTGGACTGGAGTTTTACTTTGACTTGTATCATGGGCCCAGACTAAGAAAGCATTGTCATATGACTGGTTGTCTGCACTGTGGACACTTCCCTTAACCCCTTCTGACTTTTGTTGTTACTCTCTCAGGAGGAAAAGCATCAGGCAACTTTCTTGCCTGCTCTCTCAGAAGTACCATGAAGTCAAGTGCTGCCTCCCACGTGATGGCAGCAGGGACAGAAGTGATGCCGACAGATCTGCACCCTCCCACGTGGCAGATGGCATATCCCAGGCTTACCTTCCTGCTCCTCTGTTTGCTCCTGCATGTGCTTCTCCAGCATCTGATAAATGGAGAACCAGTGCTTGGTGGATTTCTCAGTGTGGCGCTTCATGGTATTATCCAAACTCATGGACCAGCAGCTGAAATTTGAGAGAAACAGCCAAGGAGGCACTTAGACAAACACCTTTGAAAAATGTGACATCGGGAAGCACCTGTGGCTCAGGGGTGCTGGCCCCATATACTAAGGGTGGTGGATTTGAACCTGGCCCCAGCAACAAAAAATAGCCTGGCGTTGTGGTAGGCGCCTATAGTCCCAGCTACTCAGGAGGCTGAGGCAAGATAATCACCTCCCCCAAGAGCTGGAGGTTGCTATGAGCTGTGACACTACGGCACTTTACCAAGGGCAATAAAGTGAGAAGGAAAAGTGTATGGTGTGTATGTACATGGTGCTGTCTGGCCTGTATCAATGTCACTTTAATGCCTTGACATAGGCCAGACAGATTAATGACAGAAAAGCACATTCTGTGACTATCATACCAAATAAGCCATGAAGAAACTCACACAACCAGAAAACAAAGTCTTCACAACCTGAAGTCAGGAAGGGGGAGAGTCACTTACTTTAGCTCCAGTTTTCGCCACCGAATGATCGTCTGACTGACCAAATCAAGATGTTTCCGCAGTGATAAAGTTCGACTTGCATTCTCCTCCCAATCCTAAAGAAATACAGATCAAGTTGACTATGGCCATTATTCAATCCCTTGATCACCTCCTCCCTCAAAAACACTTTTCTTGAGTGAAGACTACAATATCAGAAATGAAATTATAAATAGAATCAGTTTCAAGTTCTTTCAGTAACGTGACAGAACTCCAGCATGGCCAAGTTCAAAGGCAGGCATAAAGCACAATAGGCTGGAGTCTGAAATCCTGCTGTTAGCTACATGACCTTGACCAAAGTCATCATGTGGTCCCTCTGCCACAGCCACCTTCGAAGCTGTGAGGAGATTAAAGGTACAACGTGCACAGGCCCTTAACCAACTGAAGGCTTCCGGGGAGCCCTGGAAGAGCGAGCCCTCGTTATTGGTGGAATCTGCAGCCCACTCTCAGAAGATAAAGTAGCTCACCACTCCTGCCAGGGCACAGCCTCACTTACACTGGTCTCACTCTTGCCAGAAAAAGCAAGGATGTTTATCTTTTCCCAACCCAAACTGTAAAGTTACATGCCTCTAATGACAAAAGCGTCACCAGATAAAGCTTCTGTCAATTGGCTAAAAACTAAAACAAAAGGAAGGAGGAAAGAATTTTTTTTCTTACCTGTGCCTTTGCCAGAAGTATCTCTAAGCCATTCAGGAACTTGGAGATGGGACTGGAAAGTGGGAAACTACGAATTCTGTCCATTACAACCAGAAGCTACAAAACAAAAAAGTCTGTATCTCAGTAGGAATATGGGCAACTCAAAGTCACAGTGTACGGAGAGGCCCAACCAGAAGCTTCACTCAAATTTTCCATTTCAAAAGCATGTCTGAAAACTGTAAGTGAAAACTTCCAGGGCTCTGGATCCTGACCTTCATCTGCTGCCTTACTCGTCCTATTCTCTGTAGTAAGAGTTATAAAGTAGGCTGAGGACCACAGAGCAGTATCTAAGTTAAAACTGCCAATCTTAAAACAGTAAGTCCATTTCTAGCACATTTAAAAAGACTAAGAAGCTCTTGGTAGCATATGTCTAAATAAACAGAACGATCTGGCAGCATTTTAATATGTGGATGGTAACCCCTGACAAGGAACAAAATTTTAAAAATCCCCAGACATCCGTTCCACGAAGCAGCGTGAGACTGGGCTGTTTGTGATGCAGTTAGCAAACAGCAGCTCAGGAATTGTTCTCTAGTCCTGTGTCTGTAAGGACAAATGTGCAAGTAAATGCCTCCAGAGATGACGCGAAGCCACAGCCTCAGCCAGAGGAAGTGGCCTGTGCTGCCTTCCCCTCGCCTCACCTGCGTGAGAGCTGGGTGTTCTGGCCAGTCCTGTAGCAACCGCCTGACAGTTTCTGAGAAGCCCTGGAGCACAGGCTGGCATTGCCGTGCTTCCGCAACGTTGGGGTGCTGGTAGAAGTCATAAGGCCCATCAGGCTTCACCATGAGGTCTGAGATAGCCTCCCCAAAGAGAGTGTTATAGGACAGGGTGCAGGCCAATAGCTGGCTGCCCAAGAGTCGATCATTCAGCTCAACTCCTGTGAAGTTAACAAAGTCATAGTAAAGTCAGTGAACTAAACAAGTCATCTATTAACATGTCATAAAGATCTCAGAAACAGTGAACTAACTGGGACTAATAAAGCATTGTCATTGTCCCCCAAAGCAAACCCAGCCTAGAGAACTGGGATCCTAACACCACAGAGGCTACAAAAAGCTCTCAAGTTTCTGGGATATACATATACAGAGGTCAAATACTACCTAGCTGTAAATAAGAAGCTGATGGTTTAACCCCCAGTTTTTGTAGCTGTTATGACTAAGTAGAAAGGAAACATAAAGGCACCTTCCTGATCGTATGGAATAATTCATGCAGTCATGTGGAAAACTGAATCAAACCAACTGCTATCAAACCACATTCTGTGTGATGCATTTCTCAGTTCTCAGTGCTCCCATGATTATATTTCATTTGAAAAGCACTGAGGCTATTACAGGGGAAGTAGAAATAATGCTGAGGGGAAAAAACTTAAATTCAATTCATATAATTATTTTCTTAATCTCTCCTCCCCCAAAATTCAAACAATGAAGATCCATCTTACTACAGAATTCTAAATCAATTTTTTGCTTTAACTTAAGTTCTTTAAGGAAACTTCATCAATAAGGAATTAAGTGAAAACAGGGAATTCATGATTTCAGCTGTTCTGGAAGTAGAAATTCCATCTGTTTGGTTTAACCTCCCAAGGGTATAACAACAGTAAAGTACCATACCCATCAAGGGGTAGAAGTGTGTCACGAGAGACGCCCCGGTCTGATAGCAAGACAGGAAGAGGCTGAGGTAATGCTTCATTTCATGAGGTGGCAGTGCCTGCTGGTACCAGAGGGAGCGGGCACAGCCGAGGCACAGCTGCTGGTGGATCAGCATCACCGCCTGCATGCAGCTCTGGGAGAGCACCACCTCTGCTGCGGCTTCCCCTTCTTGTCCATCTGCACTTCCTCTGTTCTCTTCCAGGGTGGGTTGTACCAAAATATCTGCAAAGTCCTGAAAATAACATTAGAGCCACTGAACTTTTGAAAATCGGAACCTGGGCTGGGTGTGGTGGTGCACACGGTGGTTCCAGCTACTTAGGAGGCTGAGACAGGAGGATGGCTTGAGCTCAAGAGTTAGAGGTTGTGGCTCAGTGCCTGTAGCACAGTGGTTATGGCACTGGCCGCATACACTGAGGCTGGTGGGTTCAAACCCGGCCCAGGCCAGGTAAATAACAATGACAACTGCAACAACAACAAAAAAGCCTGGTGTTGTGGCAGGCGCCTGTAGTCACAGCTACATGGGAAGCTGAAGCAAGAGAATAGCTTGAGCCCAAGAGTTTGAGGTTGCTGGAGCTGTGACACCACAGCACTCTACCAAGGGTGACATAGTACACTCTGTCTTAAAAAAAAAAGGTAGCGCCTGTGGCTCAAGGAGTAAGGCGCCAGCCCCATATACTAGAGGTGGCGGGTTCAATCCCAGCCCCGGCTAAAAATTGGAAAAAAAAAAAAAAAACAAAAACACAGAGTTGGAGGTTGCTATGAGCTGTGATGACACCCCAGCACTCTAACCTGGGAGATAGAGCAAGATTCTGAGGACATGAGAAGAGAAAGAAGAGGGGGAGGGGTGGGGGAAGAGAAAACATAAAAGAGAAGGGGGTAGAAGGAAAGGGAAAAGGAAGGAACGAAATCAGAATCTGCTCCTGATCAGCCTAAGAGTAAAAAGGGAGTGCAAACAATTAAGAAAATGCACTAAGTTTTATGTATGCATTTAAGATATATTAAGAAAACTATGCAGCCGTTCAGAGAGGAAGAATGTGGCATCAGGGAACTCATTCCAGAACAAGCCCGGTCACCAGTGCGCTACCTGCTCGTGCAGTGGGAACTGCTTTCTGAACTCCCGCTCCTCCTCCTCCTCCTCACTCAGGGCCGTACGGGAGCCCCTGCCCCTGTATCTGTACAGGCTGCTTTCCTGCTGGGCCTTCTCTTGGGCGATGCGCTCCTGCTCGTCCCACTCATTGATGATTTCCTGAAAAGTCACACACAGATGGAAGCTGAGTGGCCTTTGCTGGGGCACTCTCACCCCAAAAAGGCAAGATCTGCTCATCTCACGAAAAGGAAGTGCCTCGGCTCAAAACTAATGAAAGGCAACATCCAAGAAAGTAAACTGCACATGAGAGCAAATGGGTTTGTTTCCACATTGTGTATCTTCAGCAGTCACAGTTAGAAAAAATCCCTTGCTGTGTTATAATTTCAAAGGTGTAAAAACTTGCCACAGTGCAGTTCTGGGGAACGTGCTGTTAGGAGCTAATGGCCTGTCGGTTAGAGATATGGGTGAAAAACTGGGCAGAGGGATGGTGCAGGCTGACAATCGGAGGGTCAGCTGACAGCAGCCCGGATTCCTCAGACCTGCAGTGCTGCACACAGTGCAGAGCTGGAAACAACCTGAGGGTTTCAACTGGGTATTCAGCAAAAAGACGGCCCAGAGCCAACATTGCTCCTGAGTCAACAGCCCGGACTCCCGTCACATGCCCCCCCACCCCCCCATCCTGCCACAGCACTGGCTGTGATCTGTTCTAGAAATTATTAATTAAGATCTGCAGGGCAGGCTCGGTGCCTATAGCTCAACTGGCTAAGGCGCCAGCCATGTACACCTAAGGTGGCGGGTTCGAATCCCCAGCCCGGACCCGCCAAAACAACAATGACGGCTGCAACCAAAAAATAGCCGGGCGTTGTGGCGGGCGCCTGTGGTCCCAGCTACTTGGGAGGCGGAGGCAGGAGACTCGCTTGAGCCCAGGAGTTGGAGGTTGCTGTGAGCCGTAATGCCACGGCACTCTACCCAGGGGGACAGCTTGAGGCTCTGTCTCAAAAAAAAAAAAAAAAAAAAGATCTGCAGGGCAAGTCAAAGGTATAGAATGCGACCCAGGGAGAGTCAAGGAAGCTAAAGCTCGCCCCCTAAGCATTGCACCATTTCTTCTGTGACTCTCTGACCTCATGATTAGATGACATTGTTCTCTTTTGCTTTTTCCTCTTACTCCCTTGTTCTTTACCTCATGATAAATGACTCTTATCCTTATGTCGCATAATGAGGTTAGAGTTTCTTTCTGTTTACAATTAGCTTTTTGTTCTGTGCTATGTGACATGTATACATTTTTTATGCTCAATACAAGACCCCTGAGGTTTCCTTGGAGGCAGCACCATCTGCTGCTCTGAACACGTGAAGCTGCTTGCCTCTCTGGGATTCATCGGTTATTTCACTGCAAATAACTGAGTGTGAGAGTTTTCTTTCCTTGCCAGCTTATCCACAGTAGTGAGTGACTACAGTGGGGCTCGGCACCAAGGACAGGTTCAGGGTCTACTACTACGAAGAAGCTGGGATTCTGACTGCACTTCGCTGGTGCCTCATGCAAGCTCAGGGTGTCAGCAAAGGAAACAGCCCCGGAGCTGGTGGTCAAAGGGTCCTAATCAGGCAAAACTGGACCGAGCTTTACCAGACACTGCTTGAATTCTCTAATACCTCTAAGATTTTAAGATCTTAAATTGGCAAAAACTATAAATTAAAGAAACCATCCAATCTTGCTGAAGGTTGAAGAAATAAGGACCCACCCACCATCTTGGAAGGTAAGAGCCTAGGAAGTGTGTTAAATCTTTGACCTAGCAATCCTGACCTGCAGAACTTGAACCTGGAGACAGATAAATGTATATATACAAATGTAAATGTTCAATTACAGGAAATTACTTCAACTACTTCTACGTTATGGCATGACCATAACATAGAAACTTGGGCAGGCACTGAATATGATATAGGTGGATACGCGATAACGGGGAAATGCCCACCGCATGCTAAGCTTCAACAAGCAGGCCAGCAAGCACAGTGACCTCTGTGGGTGTGGTGTATTCTGTAGAGCTCCAACAGCTTAAGGACATGTCTCAGAGGCCACAGAGGGGACTGGAAATGACCTCAAACACAGCAACTCTTCTTTCTGTTAAATGTTGGGTCACTAAGCTAAGATTTGTATTTTTTAAAAGGTGCTACTACTTTAAGAAAAAAAAAATCAAAACTGTTAACAATTAGAACAAATTACTTTAAATGCGGGGGTGGCGGGGGAGGACACACAAACAGTAGACTCCCTGCTGCCCAGCCTCACTGTCCCTACACCCACTGGGCACTGCTCATTTCCCTAGGGTCTCCCTGCCATGTCCTCAGAGACGGCTCACCTGGCACACGTGTCTGAAGAGCTGCAGGGCCCTCTGGTCCAGCTCCCCCTTGCACAGCACGTGAGAGCGTAGGTGAAGGAGGGCGTTTAGCAGCAGCTGCTCCCGGCTGAGGCAGGGCCTCTGGCCCTTGTCATCCAACTCCTTTCCTCCGGACCGCTTGAGGATCAGCTTCCCCAGGCCTCGAAAAACCTCCTCTGACTTCACTGAGCACAGAGTGTCTGCATGAGCGTAGTAGGTGGAAAAGGCAGGGCCCACTGAGGGGAAAGCCAGCAGGGCTGTGGCCAGGGCCTCCAGCCTGTCAGCACAGACTGTGCTGCTGTGCAGCAGGGAGTGGACCTCGGACGCCACCAGCCTCATGCCATGCTGCAACTGTAAGACAGACGCCTGCAGTGGGGCCACCAGGTCCGGGTACAGGGCGTAATCCTCTGCCAATCGCTTCCGGAACTGGTGGTGCGACTGCTGCCAAGAGGCCTCCTCCTTCAGAAGGCTCTGGGCTACTTGGGCAGAGGGCAGCCCATCCACACGCAGGGCCTGTAAGAGCCGTGAGAGGAGGTCCTGCACAGCAGCGGCCTTCGCAATGCTGGAGACGTAGTGATGGATCTCCTGCACCAGGGACTCGTGGGTGGGCAGCTGCGGCCGCAAGGCCTGCTTCTTCAGCAGGCTGCAGATTACATTCTCCAGCTGACTCATCCTTTGGTGAAGGGACCTAAAGGTAAATAAATAAAATATGTAAATTCTGTCAGACAAACAACAGACCTAGATTGGGCCCTCAGCTGGGAAGATAAAATGAAGAAACACAGGCTCCTGAGAAATAATATGCTAACATTGACACTCACGTTAAAAATGAATGATATTACAGCACACTAACTGCACGCCGACACGCATCTCACCCACACCTTGCACTGGCTTATTGCAGCAGGTAATTACAATCATCCTTATACTGATAGGGACACTGAAGCTTAACAGTATCAAGTGATCAACCCAAGGTCTAAATCCAAAAGCAGGAGGAGGACTGGAACTCAGAACCTATTGTACTATCCAGCCTGAGCTTTGAGTGCTAACATGACACTCAAAATGAAAGGTTCACTAGAGCATTTTGGATTCAGAGCTTCAGATTTGGGATGCTCAACTGGCATAATACTAATGTTCTAAAATCCAAAAACCTTCCAGTCCCAAGTACTTCAAATAAACAACCCTTAACCTACAGAGCACTTCCTAAGGTAATAGCCCTACAGTCGGACACAGTAGAGAGACACAGGACAGGACACCAGACCCCTCCCTTCCTCTGTGTTAAGACTAGGTCTGGCTTCAACTTGCTTGGCCAGGTGAGAATCCACACCTTCAATACCCTCCCCCTCCCTTCACAGAGTATATCGTTTTCTTGACTATAACCAAGGACTTTTTTTTGTTTTTTGAGGAACAGTCTCATTTGTCATCCTCAGTAGAGTGCTGTGGCATCATAGCTCATAGCAACCTCAAACTCTCGGGCTCAAGTGATTCTCTTGCCTCAGCCTCCTGAGTAGCTGGGATTACAAGCACCTGCCACAACACCTGGCTATTTTTAGAGACAGGGTCTCACTCTTGCTCAGGCTGGTCTTGAACCTGTGAGCTCAAGCAATCCACCCGCCTCGGCCTCCCAGAGTGCTGGGATTATAGGCGTGAGCCACTGCACCCAGCCCTATAACCAGGGCTTTGAGCTGTAATTGCTAACACAGGTCAAAGGCATTATAACCTCTCCCAACGCTACAACTACATGGCAAACTTCATAACTTCCTTTTCAAAGGAGAGCAATAACCCCCAACACAAACGACCACTGTTTCGTCACCTGACGTGAGGATGAGAATAACTGATGACCTCCTCGTCTCCCAGGTCTCTTCCAGTCTGCAGCTGGGAGTACAGGGCCTGGGTCTTCCACTCACACTGCAGCTGGTGTAACTAATGGAAAGGAGAGGGACCGGTCAGCTGTCTTAGCCATGACCATGCAAGCGAGGAAATGCCTGGGAGCGGGTAGAGCAAGACAGGAACAAGCCAGGTTCTTAAGTGACCACGGACAGGTAGCTCTGCTCCATTAGCCTGGATGACTCACGTCAGCTGCTAGGTGAAGAAACTATTTCTGCCATTGGACTTTCGGGTCTCCTTGCTACAACAGCTTAACCTTCACTCCAATTAATATAATTTTCTTCCTTCAAAATATAATACTAGTATATCACTATCTTAATGTATTGGGTACCTGAGTTTGGTTGGAAGTTCTAAGAGCAAGGGATAGCATATTATCTGAGTCTACTTGATTCCTAAGCTTCAAGTTCAAAATTCCTAGAACATAAGATACTATGTTCTAGGAGTTCGTTTAGGCAGAGGGAGTCTGGGAAGAGCAGGACACCCTTGTCTCTCTGACAGCACTTTAGGGTAGACAGTTATGTCAGAGCCTTATGAAGGCCCCTCCCAGAACCTAAGCCTCATCAGAGGAACTCTCAAGAGGAAAACGCAGTCCTGGGAGGTGACAGGCAGCCCATGAGTATCACCCTTCTGATGATCTGGGCACACAAAAGGGAGTAAAAGGAGTGACACATCCAGCAAATCCAGCAATCAGGGAAGCCACCCCCGCTCCAGCTCTTGCCTCCCATACCTCTTCCTTGGCGTATATAAGCTTGTATTGCTTCTTCACAGCAGGGTCAAAGCGGGCCTGAGGAAGCCAGGTCTGAATCTGGAGCAAGCCGAGGCTCACCCAGAGGCTCCCTCGCTGGGCCGACTCTGGCAGGTTCCTCTTATTCTCTGCTTCCCCACAAAAGTGGTGGAGGGAGGTGAGCAAAAGGCACAGCATTTCCTTGGGCAGCACCTCCTGACTGGCCATGTCCCCGAGAGCCTGGCCCACAGCCTGGAAGGCCTGGCTATCACCAAGCAGCAGCTGCTCACAGCTCTGCACATAATCCTGCCGCTGGGGCTCTGGAAGCAGCTCTGTGAGGGCCACCAGGTGCCAGCACAGCACCAGGCCCTGCAGCCGGGAGTCTGTGCGCCTGCGGGGAAGAGCACATGAGGGCCCACACTGCAGCAAACAGCATTCCTTCTCGTACACCATTGCCACTCTGTCCAGAAAGGACAGCTGCAAAGCACTGCCAGAACCTGGAGATAAACTACTGCTCTCATAACTTTGTTTTTTGAGATAGGGTCTTGCTGGAGTGCAGTGGGATAATATAGCTCGCAGCAGCCTTGAACTTCTGGCCTCAAGAGAGCCTCCTGCCAAAGCCTCCTGAGTAGACAACAGGTGCACACCACCAGGCCTTGTAGAGACAAGGTCTTGCTGTGTTACCCAGGCTCATCTCCAAACTCTGGCCTCAGGTGATTCACTAACCTCAGCCTTTCCAAGTACTGGGATTACAGGTGGAAGCCACAACACCCCAGCCTTTATGTTTTAAGTGGTTAAGTAAGTATCACACTTGATCACAATTTGCTTAAAACTGATATAGGAACCAGCAAGCTCATGGCAGACTAAAAACGTGCCGATACGGGCAGCAGAAACCCTCCACCCACAAGAACTATCCTGTACACGCTCTGACCGGTCCCTGCTACCAGTCTGCTCCCAGGGGAGAGAATACCTGAACTCTGCCACTGAAGGGACAGCCATGTTGGTCCAAAGCACTGAGTTGATGTCCTGAAACTGCTGGGCTCTCTCAACCCACTCTCCCAGAGTGACGTGCGAGGAGGACAAGATGGGGAGGCCGCCCACATCCCAGGAACTTGATCTGCACCTGTTGGTCATGACTTCAAAGCAGCACTTTGAGAATATGGGTCTACTGAGGCTGCCAGGGCCCTGACACGTAAAGAGAAGAACCAAGTAACTTTTAAAAACTAAAATGATTCCAACAAGTAGCACTAGGACATTTACAAAGAAGCAGCAATAGAAAAAGAAGGTCCAGTGTGCTTAGAATAGGCAAGCACCAGGCAGAGCTGGTAGCAGGTGAGCAGAAGGCTCAGGTGACAGTGGGCCTCAGGGAAAGAGAATGCCTGGCGCTCTCATCATGCACGAGGAAACACCTTAAACCTGAGGACCAGGGAGACCATTTGTGTAGAAGAGAAAGTGTCACACTGAAGAAAACGAGAGTTGGATAGAGGGAAAGGAGTGACAAGATAAACTTAAGAGCCAGGGACAGAGTCTGCCAAGCCTGTGCTCCTTGGACTGTTAATCTGGGCCACAGTAACAGTGCCCACACAAAGGACTGGGTGGCCAAATACATATGACAGGCAAATCTACATACTCCACACAGTGCTTAGGGATCCACACGTTTAAAGGCTTTGAGAGTTGTTTTACCATATAGAAAGCCATTTTGATAGAGCACCAGAACAGAATAGAGTCCAAACAAATCCCTAAACACTTGTGGGAATAAGGTATATGATGAAGGTGGCATTTCAAATGAGAGTAGAAAGCATGAATTACTCAAAAGGAATTAAATTCTAATTTAATAAACTACCCACTGAAATATACAGACAGATGGACAAAGATTAAAACAAAGATAGTCACTGCAGCCACACTTGTTACGGGGGTGGAGGGGCAGGGCAAGAAGCCGCACATTTATCACTAAAAAGTGATTAAATTCTGACACACCATCACTATGGAATACCTTAAAAAGAATAAGCTAGAATGACATGTACACACTGTCATGACATATTTAAGTACTTACTTAAGTCTACATATGTACTGAATTTAAAAAATGTAAATAGAAGGATAAAGAACAGACTATTTCTAATGAATTCTATATTATACATATTCACAGTTCTATATTGTTTAAGTGTTATATTAGAAAAAAATTTTTAACTACAAAAATTTGAAGACTTTAAATGAAACATTTTTTCTTATCTCACATATCAATGAAAGATGAAACACCTTTACTGACAGTATACAGACCAAGATCTTAAAAGAAATAAAGTATTGTAATAACCTATTTAGTAATTACTCTATGCTGGGAATAAATGTTTACTGTTAGATCTACCAAGAAAATATTTTCTTCCTGTCATAACACACTTCTATGATTTTAGGCTGACAAACCTTCATCGCAGAATCCCAAAGGGAGTTTGGCATCTCCCTCTGCCGGAGACCAGGCAGAGGAGGCCACGTTAGCCAGTACTCTGCATCTGTGGTCACAGTACTGCTCCAGAAAGACATGAACGTGGAAGTAAGTAACTCAGACCACAGAGAAACAATCTCTTCAGAAGATGCCTAGGGACAAGGGAATAATTAGATTAAGAAGAGTTGCAGGCCTCTTTCTTCTAAGGCCCATCTAAAACGAACATGGGTTTAAAAGGGACTAGTCCTAATTTTCCTAATTCTGTCACCTTGGTCATCTTAGTCAAGGCACATAACCTGTTTATAATCTGATAAAACTATGATATGCTCTTATGAGGTTGCACAAAAAAGTATAAGTAAAACAATTTACAACATTATAATACCAGCAAAAGGGATAAAGATTATTATAAAATTAAGGTTGTATTAATGAAATAATATTAATTTAATATTAATAATTATTACTATTAACCAGTGTTTTAAATATCCATATTAAATATTTTATATTTAATTTAATATTCACATTCATATTAATTAATTTATAATATAATGATATAAATATTAATATTATTAATAATTATTACTATTAACCAGTGTTTTATGGTATTCAATAGTCATTTAAGGGGAAGAGTAAAAGCACTATCATAATACAGGGAGTCCCTGAGTTACAAACATCTGACTTACATAAAATTTGCAATTACAAGGTAATTACCTGTTCCTGGTAATGTACCTGTTCCAACTTACATACAAATTAAACTTAAGAACAATCGCACAAAAATCTGTCTCATTCATAACCTGGGGACTGCTGTATATTTCTGAGAATTTTCAAAAAGCAAATATTCTTATTGGCAGTAATTCAGATAAGAGTGGGATTTGTAGTATGGAATTCCGAGAATAAAATGTTCTGCAACCATTCTGTCACAGAAAATGTAATCAATTCATGATGTAAATAAGGCTTATTTCTTTCTGATTTTGGTTCTTACCTTCTGGCGATGCAGCAAGGACCAAAGGTCTCGAAGCTCTTGGGGAGCAACTGGTGTGTGCTTAAGACAAAACGTGATGTGATGACTTATCTCCTCCTCCATACGGGGGTGCTGATTTTTGCTGACCCTGTTCCAAAGGTAAACAGGGAGAAGCTGGGGTGTTGACTATCAGTGAGCTGGTAGAAACCTGCTACATCAGGGAAGGTGGAGCGCACGGATTTGAAAACAGAACAACCCCAGTGACCAAACGCCTAGTAACTTTTCAAAACTGGTGCAGGGTCCTCAGGAAGGTTTGACTTTTGAAGTGATCTCCCTCTGCTTCAGCTATCGCTCCCCTCAAGATGAGTCTGCGTCTTGTCACACATAAAGCACATACAAAACAACAAGATAAAAATGTTCCCACAAAGAAATACCCTAAGAATGGCTCACCTCCTCAGACAAGCCTGCGCCATGAAATCGGCTGTTATTTTGTACTGCCATAGCATAGCCAGGTACTCCGTGATGGGCCACAGCTGAACACTCCTGGTGAGCTGGATTAAGGAGGTAGAATCTGGCTGGCATGGGAAGGAAGTTTCACCAGGCTTTTGCTCCAGAACACCAAGTGAAAGCCCTCTGGCTTTTAGTTCCGAACACTGAGCACACACAAGATTCTGTAATTCATCTGGACAGAATGAAAAGGGTTGTGTTAGAGCACAGTGGTCAAGGGCACGCACTTTGGATGCCTGACTGAGAGATCAATCTGCGTTCATGGGCAAAGCTACTGAACCTGGGCTTTGAGCTTCTTAGCTGTTAAGTGATAATAACTGCAGGACTCTAATGATGAAATTTAAAATGTATGTAAGTTGACCGTATGCCTGACACTTACTTAGTGGTACTTATACTACATTTGAAAAAAGGAAAAATCTAATTGGCCGTAGGGATGAAGATATCCTGGGATATATTACCTAGATTGACATCTTCCAGAATATTAGCTCTGTGGATTAATCCCCAGGCCTGTAGGAGACGTTTCTTTAATGTCCACTCAGAAGCAACCACTTGGAGACGACAAACATCTTCTTGCCATCCACTCTCCCCAAGGGCAGGCGTCCACTCCCTGATGGCAAGCACTCTGCTCAGAACCTTCAACTGTGAGAAGCAATCCACCACCAGCTGGTTCTGAAATAATAAAGCCCAGGAGAAACTATACAGAGGAAACACTTGGCTCTTTTTACCAGCCTAAACATGTCCAAGAAGAAATTTAAGATATTTTCTTAATTTTTCTAGAAAACAAAGGCTTTGTTTACTTGTGTTCCTCTAAGGACATTTTTACAGTAATGAGGTTAAAACTCTACTCAGCCCTTAATAGTCTGAGGAGGGAGTAAAATGCTAAGTGTCTTCATGGAATACTGTCTGCCCTCCACAGCCACAGATTCAACCCCAATACAGACTGGAAATATTTGTTGACAGAAACCAGTGGTTAAGTCTGTCTTGAAAGCAATTTCTTGTTATTATTACCTAATCCACACAGTATAACAACTATTCACGCTGACACACAATTTGTATCACACGTAATTTCATTTCTAAGAAACCCAGCCGACAGTGTCCTTTCTGATTCACTTGTGCAAGTTTCAACTTACTCAGCTTATTGGTATTGCTGGGAGGGCTTTGTTGATTTCCATGCCTATAGATTTTATTTCTTAATTTTTGTATAACTCAAAACTAGTAATCACGAATAATCTGCAGATGGTTTAAAGGTGTAGAAGGATGTGCACAGGCTGTACACACACACCGTGACATTTTATATAAAGGCCTGGAGCATCCTTGGCTCTTGGACTCTGAAGGGATAGTTCAGTTTTGCAGATAAGGATGAGACTAGTAGAATGTCAGTTCCCATGCTCCACAAGAACCTCAGAAGAAGTCATCAAATCTTATTTACTGGGGTGGCGCCTGTGGCTCAGCGAGTAGGGCACTGACCTCATATACTGGAGGTGTTTGGTTCAAACCTGACCCCAGCCAAACAACAAAAAAATATCCGGGTATTATGGCAGGGGCCTGTAGTCCCAGCTACTCGGGAGGGTGAGGCAAGAGAATCACCAAAGCCCAAGAGCTGGACGTTGCTGTGAGCTGTGACACCATAACTAAGGGCGACATAGTGGGACTCTATCTCAAAAAAAAAAAAAATTTTATTTACTACATCTTTGCAGATGTACCTTGAAAGGAAATGGTCGTCCCAGGAACTTCTGCAACTTCTTTATACCAGGGAAGCCACCAGTCGGGCTCTCTAGACAATGTTGAATGTGTTCTGAGACAGTCTGCACCTCTTTGTAATACCTTTAAAGGAGAATAAAAGCAGAGAGGAAATAAGGAAGAGGGGAAGCACTGGACGGTAAGAGAGTCATCCACATTTTACTTGTTATTTACATTCACCACTGTGCTAAGCAAATAAACAAAAGCAAAGCAAGATGTGGTTTCAATTCCAAGCTCTCTCCTTTATTACATCATCTTTGTATAGTTACAGACATGATTGCTCTAAACATGAATCTTACTTGTCTTCATGATTCATCAGGAGTTGGGGCATCTGCTGGATCAAATGTTTTAAAACCCAGTGCCAGTGGAGGGCCAGCAGGGCCAGACCTGGGGTGTCCACTTTGACTGTGTCGGCCACAGTCCAAAACCGGTCTCGCCACCTCACAGAACTTAAGATCTAAAAACAAAGTAAACCAAGACTGCTCACAAACTTCTCTCAGTAAAATACACACAATGCAGACTTTCATTGTTAATCAGTCCTCACAGGCAAAATGAAAGGTCTAAGACTGGACTGGAATGTTTGGAGGGACATTAAGGCAAACTACTTTTCTCCTAGTATGAGAAGTGAAGTTATTACAGAAAATGAGGTTAGTGATCGGGTAGTATACCTGTTCTTTCCTAACAGCCATTGTCTTACAAGGCAATTGCATTACTTGTATTCCAGCCAGAAGTGCAGGAGAGCTCGAGCTGTTTTATTTCTTTGCCAACACTTACTACTGTTAGTGATTTTAATTGCTCCCGTATTGCTCTGGTCAATTAGGGGTACCTAATTAGGTTTCAACGATATTTCCTTGATAATTAGTAATGTTTTTATTGCCATTTTTCAAGGTACTGGACATTCACGTATCTCCTGAGAAGCATCTAGTCAAGTCTATTATTCATTTCAAAAACTGGATTGTTGGCTAGGTATGATGGTTCCTATATGCTATAATCCCAGCACTTTGGGAGGCTAAGGAAGGAGGAACTGCAGGAGTTCAAGACCAGCATGGGCAAAAACAGCAAGACCCCCACCTCTAAAAGAATTTTTTTGTAATTACCTCAGCAAAGTGGCAAGCACCCATCATTCCAGCTACTTGGGAGACTGAGCAGGAGGATCACTTGAGCCCCAGAGTTCAAGGTTGCAGTGACCTATGACACTACACTCCAATGCTGGGTAACAGGGGACTCTGTCTCTATTTATTTAAAACAAACATTTTTTTAACTGGGCTGCCATATTACTATTAGTTTGGGTAATTTAACGTGTGCTTTGTAAACAGTTTCTCCCACTATGTTCCCATTCTCCCAGTGTGTTTATAAAGGAGTCTATGAAAAAGAATAGAACTTTCAATTCTGGGCTCAGTGCCTGTAGCTCCATGAATAGGGCACCTGCCATATATACTGAGGCTGGCAAGTTTGAGGCCAGCCTGGGCCTACTAAACAACAATGACAACTACAAGAAAACAAAAACAGCTGGGCATTGTGGCGGGCACCTATAATCCCAGCTATTCGGGAGGCTGAGGCAAGAGAATCGTTTGAGCCCAAGAGTTGGAGGTCGCTGTGAGCTGTGACATTACGGCACTCTACCGAGGGCGACACTATGAAACTCTGTCTCAAAAAAAAAAAAAAAGTAGTTGTAAAAGTAGATGAAATCCAATTTATCATTTTTTTTCCTATTAAGAAGAATCCTGACAAATCTTTGCCTATCATTAGATTGTAAAGATTGCTCCTATGTTTCACTTCCACTGGTTCACAGCTTCAGCTTCAATATTTAGGTCTCGTCTTGTTTTTGAAACAAAGAATTTGACCACTTCCCGGAACTTAAAGACGAGATTTGTGTGACTTTGAAAGGTATGACTTTTTATTTAGTTATAAAAAGGACAAAATGTGCCCGTGGAGTGAACAACATTTCCCAAATTACCAATGCACGAGCTATATACAATCTCACCCAAAGTATAAATCCAAACAAAGTCAAAACTAGACCAATGGATTTCAATGTATGACAAGTTCAGTGTTCTTTTGTTTTTTCTTTTTTTTTTCCAGATTCCTCACTGCAAATAACCTTTATGAAACTACTATGTTTGTGGTATGCCATCAAAAAAAAGAGTTCACAATGACATGAAATGACTATGAAAATATTCCTCCTTTTGTATCTACTGGTCTGCTTTTTCCTTACAAATTTCCACCCAAATTGCAAGAGACTGAACGGAGAAGCAGAATTAAAAGTCTAGCTTTCTTCCCTTAAGCCAGACATGGAAAGACTTACAGGAATATAAAACACTCCTGCTTCATTTTGGAAAATAGCTATTTTTTATTAAAAATATATTATTTGAATTAACATGAAATTGGTCTGCTAGTAAAGTTTAAAACATTTATATTTTAGGGATTTAGGTCCTAATATGATAAATATTGACAGATGTAACTACATAAACAAAAGCTTTTTGGGGTATCTGCTAACTTCTAAGATTATAAGGAAACCCTAACCAAAGTTTAACACTGTCTATTCAATTGTACTACACTTATTAAAATTATTTGGATTCAAAACTTCATGTAACAATGATGCCTAAAATGACTTAAGTGAATTAAAACCTAACTACTAAAGTCTAAATGTCCATCAGTCAGAAAAGGGATAAATAAACCGCAGGAGAACCACATAAACAAACATTACTCAGCAATAAAAAGAAATGAACTTGGGATACTTGAAGACCCAGGGATGCATCACAAAGTAACAATGCTGACTGCAAGAAGACAAAAAAGCATATATGGCGTAGGCCCATCCACAGACAATTAAGCTGCCTGCACTAACAGAAAGCAGGTCAACGGTTACTTGGTTAGGGTGGAAGCAGCAGAGAAAAAAGAAAAACAAAAAGGGCATGAAGTAACTTTGGGGGTGATGGATTGGTTCACAATCTCAATTATGATAAAGGTTTCACAGGTATATATAAGGCGGGCGTAAAGTTCATGTGCAGTTCACTGTTAAACTATTTTAAATTGCACACGAACTTTATGCCCACCCTGTACAAGTCAAAACTCACATATTTAAACACATATAGTTTATAATAAGTCAGTTATACCTCCACAAAGATTTTAAATGTGTATGTGTATTTCTCAAATGATACTGGCCATATAGTAACAACAAAGTTGGTCTTATCACTAAGAATCTTTGTGCCAAGCAAGACAAGATAAATCTTGTTTAAAATAAAAACAGGTACATTTCCTCACCTCATTCATACTGGCATCAGACACTGTCCCCTGGGAAGACTGCACCCAGAGCAGGATTAGTGCATCACAAAGTTCAAAAAATGCTGCAAGGTTGACCACAATCTCATGAGGTAGGCTGTGATAACTCTCCGGATCTTAGAGTTAACATAAATAAGAACATTCTGTCATATTTAAATTAATATGTGGACATTTTCAAAATAAACTATAAACCAGGCAATTTCAAAAGGCTAAAATCAAAAGGAAATCCAAACTGTTTGGAATCTAGGGCCTGGCGCAGTGGCTCATGCTTGCAATCCCAGCACTCTGGGAGGCCAAGGTGCGTGGACTGCCTGAGCTTACAAGTTCAAGACCAGCCTAAGCCAGACCAAGACTTCGTCTTTGAAACTAGCCAGGTGTTGTGGTGGGCGCCTGTAGTCCCAGCTACTTGGGAGGCTGAGGCAAGAGAATGGCTTAAGCCAAAGAGTTTGATGTTGCTGTGAGCTGTGACACCACAGCACTCTACCAAGAGCAATAAAAACAAAAACAAAACAAAAACCAGTTTGGAATCTAAAGTCATTTAAAAAATAGCCCCCCCATTTAGATATTTGCACAAACACAACTGGACACCTTAAGAATGGGACTTAAGTCTACCTATGAAATTCACTTATGTTTCATATACAACTTATACACATGGCCCAAAAGTGATTTTACAAAAAAAATTTTTTTGTACAAATAAGAGTCTCACTTAGTAGAGTGCCGTGGTGTCACAGCTCACAGCAACCTCCAACTCCTGGGCTTAGGCGATTCTCTGGCCTCAGCCTCCCAAGTAGCTGGCACTACAGGTGCCCGCCACAACACCCGGCTATTATTTTTGTTGTTGCGATTCGGCCGGGGCCAGGTTTGAACCCATCACCCTCGGTATGTGGGGCTGGCACCCTACTCACTGAGCCACAGGTGCCACCCAATTTTACAAAATATTTTTAACAACATTGTACAGAAAACTACATTTTGACTGTATTTTGACTATGACTCAAGCATGATACCAGTAGAAAAATTTTCTACTTACAGCATCATGTTAGCACTGGAAAAGCATCAGATTTAAAAGCATTTCAAATTTCATACTTTTGGATTAGGGGTGCTCAATGTATCCTATAAAGCTTGGCAAATGAGGGCTTGGCACCTGCAGCTCATCAGCTCAGACACCAGCCACATGCATCAGAGCTGGTGGGTTCAAACCCAGCCCAGGCCTGCCAAACAATGACACTACAACCAAAAAATAGCCGGGCATTGTGGCAGGCGCCTGTAGTCCTAGGTACTTGGGAGGCTGAGGCCAGAGAATCGCTTATGCCCAAGACTTGGAGGTTGCTGTGAGCTGTGACACCACAGCACTTTACCCAGGGTGATATAGTGAGACTCTGTCTCCAAAAAAAAAAAAAAAAACACTTGGCAAATGAGACAGGTATACACATAGATGTAAAGAAAGTCTTAATGAAAAATGCAAATTAGAGAGTAAAACTATATATTTTATACACATGTTTAAGTAAAATTAATGAAAAAATGCAAGTTACAAAGCAAAAATGGGTATTTTATACAAGAGTTTACTTAAGGACAATTAATGAAAAATATAAATTAAATAAAAAAATGCTTATTTTACACAAGTGTTTAAGTACAAAACAAAAACTAAGTACATGTATGCCTGGATGGACTGTTACAAGAGATAAAAAAGGTACAAAAGATAACAGGAGCTGTCACAAGGATGAACTTATTCACAATTTTTATCCTTTTATAGTTTGAATGTTTACCAACAACCACAAATATCTTTTTAATTGAAGAAAATAAACAAAGGAGAAAGAAAGAAGTGCCCCTCCTATGAGGAAAGCTTATGAATATATATACTTTTATGCTAACAGACCCAGTTTATAATTTCTGGCTCTGCTACTTTCTAGAGATGTGACCTGAGCACTTCCTGTGTCCCTTTCCTTAGTCATTAAAAAATATTTTTCTCAGGTGGCACCTGTGGCTCAAAGGAGTAGGGCACCGGCCCCATATGCTGGAGGTGGTGGGTTCAAACCCAGCCCTGGCCAAAAACTAAAAAAAAATATATATGTGTTTATGTGTATATATATATATATATATATATGTATTTTTTTTTTTTTTCCCCCCACGGTGGCTCACCTTTGTAATCCCAGAACTCTGGGAGGCTAAAGCAGTTGGACTGCCTGAGCTCACAGGTTTGAGACCAGAAACAGCGAGAACCATCTCCAAAAAAAAAAAAATAATAGCCGGGCACTGTGGTGGGCACCTGTAGTCTTGTCTCAGCTACATGGGGAGACTGAAGCAAGAGTATCACTTGAGCCCAAGAGTTTGAGGTTACTGTGAGCTATGATGCCACAGTTCTCTACAGAGGGTAATGAAGTGAGACCCTGAATAAAAAAAAAAACAAAAACAAAAACAAAAAACCTTTTTCTTTAAAATTTTTTAATTTCAACAGATTTAATGATGCCACAGCTATAATGCCACAGTACTCTACAGAGGATAACCAAGTGAGATCGAATCAAACAAACAAAAAAAACCCAAAACTTTTTCATTTAAAATTTTTTAATTTCAAACAGATTTGATAGCTGTTTCTTTGCACGAATGAATTGTGTAGTAGTGAAGTCTCTGTTTTTAGTGTACCTGTCACCAACTAATACACACTGTACCAGACAAGTAATTTTTTATCCCTCACCACCCTCCCCTACCTGTGGGTCTCCAGTCTTCCATACTGGTCTGTCTGACCTTTCCTCATTTATAACATGAGGATGTACCTCACAAGGATATGCAAAAGCATTTAGCTGAACACCTGACACAGAGTACATAAATATCAGTCATTACTATTGAGCGAGGGGACATGATTACAACCAGGCCAGCAAATCAAAAGGAATCAGTAAACAGCAACTTTACATCATTATGCAATCAAGTGCCTGATTAAAGAATATGAAAGGTACATGTTCTTACCTTTATGGAATTCAAAGGACATTCTCAAAACACTATTTCTTAGCTTTTTGCCACCAACACACACCAAATTTGCTTCAGTAAAAATCCTTTTTTCCCGGTTAAGATATATAATTGCCCTGTAATGATATTCAAAAGCAAAACAAAGAGTTATCAGTAATAATACTTCTTTATCGCATCCTCTATGTGCTAGATCCTGGACACACTCGGAACATCAGTCTCCTTCATCCTGCCATTCTCTCCTGACTCTGCAGATTCTGGACTAGAGAGATGGTGGTAACAGTAGAGACTACTGAAGTGGGAGACAAGGACAGATGGAGGGAGAGAGCTGGGTCTAGGGAGTCTGCCAAGCTTTGGTTTGTCACTCTGCTGTGATGTGACAAAGACTGCACTGTGAACACTTCAAAACAGCCATTGACAAATTAATCTTTGGTATCAGAAGTTACAGAGGTGGGCAGTGGCATCTACAAGGCAATCTCTGAGGTACAAACCATGTTTATGAGCTCACTTTGTAAAAATTCGGCAACATCATATACTCATTACTGTGCTTTTCAGCAATCCATGCTATACTTCAATTATAATTTCTTTCTTTTTTTTTT